TTTTGTTTGCTGCACATGTAATTACTTCCATTTTATAGGTTTGTGCATTTTCAAGTCGTCCTGACTTCAGGTGAGTCCACACCGATCCACACAAACACAGCGACGGCATTCGTTTACCAGGTTTATTACAATATTCAGCATTAAAACAGACTTTTTGTTGTTGCGGATGTGCCGCAGTGTAGAAGCATTAAACCTCAGCATACATGAGCTTAGTTAACTGTTAGAGTGTACCTGGAAAAACAACCAAAGCCTTTTCTTTTTTAAAAACAATAATATTAATAATTTGCTTGGATTAAAAAAAAAACTAAATAAAAAGGGAACACCCCCATTAAATACTCTCACATCTTTTTTTTTTGTTTGTTTCCTCATTAAATAGAAAATGTCCATCCCACTCTTCAGTAAGTGTTTTGTTTCTCCGGTCATACTTTAAAAAAAAAAAAAACACAGTTACATAAAAAAAAAAAAAGTACACTTGTTAATCCAAAGCTTACATCACTGTAGGAGGCACTGAGGCTGACTCCTTCCTCCCACTCTGCATTATTAAAAGTCCAGCTCACTTGATTCTTGAATAGATGCTTCAGTCTGTAACCTTACTTCAGTCAGAACCAGGAGGCCGCCACTGATCCCAAACCTCCAAGGCAATTACTTATTTTTACCAGTTTTGTCCATCAGAGGGCAGTGTTGTTCCATTTTTCAGAGTTGCCACTTGTTGCATCCATCTGTTGCTTCTCCGTTTGAGCTTCCTGAGCTTCTGGAGAAAGAACATCGTCCCGTTTTCTTTCTTCATAAACATGCTGTACATCAGGATAACTGTCAGGATGGAGTGCTTGGCAACAAAAAATATGAAACACTGAATTACTTGAGAGTAAACTGCTCAAGTGTCTTTTGGAAGTTGCTCCTTAACAGAAAGACAGAATCAGATTTACAAGGGAAACGCCTGCATGTGGACTCCTCCTAAACATCTGATCCCGTGTCGCTCCAACATTCTTCCGTTCATTCTCGTCTTCTCTCCGCAGCGTCTGCGGCGTCGTCCTCAGACTCTGGAGGTGACGTAGAGCGAGCGTATCCGCTGAGCCAGGGTCGCCTCCAGCTCCTCCAGAGGTGAGTCGCCCCGACTGTGAGCCAGCGTAGAGATGGAGCTGTTCCCTTGTCGGACTCCGGGGGGTCCCAGCAGCAGGCTCCTGAAGCCCTCTCTCTCCAGCAGGGCCGGCATCTGCTGCAAGAAGTAGCTTTCACAGAAGGAGCCCAGCTCCACTGAACTGTGCGCCTGTCGCAAGAAAGGACAATCACAGAGTTGTTTTAGACACTTCATTTTAACATACAGTATCCTCCTTTGAGTTACCTTCATTAGAGTGTACTTTTCTTTTTTTTGTTGCACAGTGACTTGTAGTGTGTGTGTTCTACCTTGGCTGTCTTGTAGATGCCGACTGCGTTGTCCAGGTTGATGTGCTGAGAGCAGATGAGTTCACAGTGTCTTTGTAGCGCCCCCAGCTGGAACAGACAAGCCGCTGACAACAACTGCAGGAGAAAACGGGGAAAACGTTAACGCTGGAGAAATACTGTCACTCGTTCTTATTAGAGCAACGTTTAGTTTCATTTGTGACTCCTGTAATTGGTGCTTCCTGTTCACTTTGGTTTCATGCATTTACCTGAATTTGTTGTGAAGTGAATCGTCCCTGAAACCCTTTTTTAAAATGATCCACAGCTACTTAAGTTAAACATTCGAATGCAATAGGTCTCACCGTGATGAGTAATATTGTATAGAGACCATACTGATATACTTGTAGAGGCATGTTTATGAACACCGTATACAATTGTCATACACTTATTTATCAGCCTGAACACTCGGGGCTCCAGACTGTGACCATTTTTGGAGACGGTGCTGCAACACTAGAACCACCAGCGCTATTTGCAAATATTCCCACTGGTTTAGTTCCTTTTAAACAAATAAAATTAAATCATCTTATATCAGAGATTTGTTAGAGTCTGGTCATGATAATACTGCGGGATGGGGACAAGTCCAGTATGCTCCCTCTGGCTTGGCCCTGTGGTCACAAACTATTGATTTATTACTCAAAAGAAAAAAGGTCATTTGAATGCTACTGTGCCACTGCAGTCCCAAATATCTGTAGAGGACAGTTTAGCAGGAATCAGCAGGTGGTTTTGTGTTGAAAGTGGCTCACGCGGTTTATGTGGCCGAGATACTGCAAAGAAAGGAACAGCGTGTGATTTACGTACTGTTCTCTCTGTGTAGATAGATAAACCTGCTGCCTGAGAGATACGATTTGGTTGTTCTGTTTTGTTTCGTGCCACTTGGCATCAAGAAAGAACTGACATTTATATTCCACCGCGATGTTCCAACAGTGAAGGCAAGAATAGCATGAATGCTGGTGTCTTTATTAAAGTGAATCGGGTGATGATTCAACCTCATGCGTGACTCACACACCAACAATAATCTTATTTTAGGCATTATCCAATCTCACCTCCAACAAGTCAGGCACATTGGTTCTCAGCGACTCTGTTCCTCCGCAGTACAGGTATGACATCATCATCTGTGGAGAGGTCAACGGTCTTAGTTAGCAACAAGTAAATATAGTGGTTGATCTAAATTATTCGTGTTTTGTTGTATGTAATACATCTGAACATGTATTTGTTACCTGGAAGATGTTGTACTTGACATCGCTGATCTCGATCTCCTTGTTGGGGCTTCCGTCTGTTCCAGAGGAGGCCAGCAGACACTTGAATCTAAAGGAAAACAAATGTATTGATTGAAGCTGTTTGACTTAAAGCCAGAGTGTGCAATGTAATCCAGAAACAGTTTGGTGTCTTAAAGCAATCAATAAATCTGATAACTTAAAAACAAATTAAGTCCAATCATTGCATTTAGTCCGGCCTGTCTGTTCTGCATCACTGTGATCTTCTGCAAGGCTACATGAACACATTGCTAGAGCTAGTGAGCAGATAGCACAAGAATAGCAGACACATTTTACATCCATCCATCCATTTTCTATACACCGCTTAATCCTCACGAGGGTCATGGGGGGCTGGAGTCTATCCCAGCCGACTTAGGGTGAAGGCAGGGGACACCTGGACAGGTCACCAGTCTATCACAGGGCTACACTTAGAGACAGACAACCAAGCACACTCACATTCACACCTACGGACAATTTAGAATCACCAATTAACCTCAACATGTTTTCAGAGGAGGAGAACCCGGAGAGAACCCACACTGCACGGGGAGAACATGCAAACTCCACACAGAAAGATTCCGGTGCCCCCACCGGGACGCGAACCGGCAACCTTCTTGCTGCGAGGCAACAGTGCTACCAACTGCCCACACATTTTACAGTACTACATCTCGTACTGCTTAACATGTCACAGGATTTGTGTATCTGTGCATTTCCAGCGCTCTCCGTTGTCTCAGCCCTCCTCCGGTTCCATTAGGGTGTGTTTACGTGCATCTGTTTATTCGTTTGCCACCTGTCTGCATTAAAGCCTCGTTGTGAGCATGTGTTGTTTGATGGTATTTATCTTGTGTTGGTCTATTTTGGGTTTGAACCCAACATTCTGGACTAGTCCTCCAGCAGTACGAAGACTTACAGAGCTGCTCCAATACTTTCTTTCATTGTGTGCTTTCAAAATCTTGAATCTTGAATACTCTAGCTTTAACTGTTCTTCTCTATGTCTCTTCTTCTGTCCAGTGTGAACCCTCCTGCACTCACCTGTCAGAAGCAGTGATCAGCAGAACTTTGTGTCCGTAGAACGGTTTCCCCTCCACCACAAACGTCACATCTGACATCTCCTGGTTGTTCAGAAAGTGAGGATCTGTAGAAAACACATGAGCACCTTCTTACAACTTTCTAGCAGCAGGACAGTCAGTCTGAATGCGTGGCCATTAGTCAGCTAAGTGATTGTTTGAATAATTGATTTTTTTTCCAGCAAAACGCTCTGAATGCAGCTATAATTAAATTAACATCAACATCAGGCTATTATCGTTTTCCACTTGAAGCATTTAGCGTGAATTCACTGAAGAGCTTTCTTTCTTACCCAACTGTGCTGAAAGAGTTGCCTTCATCTCAGGAACGGCAGGAAGCGGTGCAGGGCCGAAACAGTGACTAAAAATAGCTGCCAACTGCTGGATAATGGCATCATTCTGGAAAGTGGAAGAACAGAGGGGGGGGCATTACATCACAAATTCAAACTCATTTCAGGAGGAAAACAAGCAGACATGACATCGAGGCTTGATGGTACCTTGGTGGTACGCAGGATACTGAACATAAGTGGGAGGCCCGTGGTGACCAGCTCCTCGCAGTAGTCCTCTTCTCGGATTGTGGTGAACTCTCTGAGGAGGGAAAGGGTGACCCCTGCCCTGGACTGCTGCTGGGCGCAACGAAGAGATTCCAGCCACACGTGTAGCTTCCACGGCACACCTGGACACAGAACGAGTGTGTTATTTGGGTTTTCTAACTGTTAGAAAAGAAAGTACGTCCCTCTCTTGCAGTGCGATAGGTACCCATGGCACGTAGCTCCATGGTGACGTCCAGGTAGCCGTGCTCGGCGCTGTAGTAGCTGGCCTCCTGCAGAGCCTTCATCCTGGCTTTGCAGAGTCTCGGTATGCCCACCTCCGGGAGGGCCGCGGGGCCGTTAGGAGTGGTCGGCAGGGGGAGGAAAGGGCAGATCCCAGCCACCTCATCTTCCACCCCCTCAGCTAAGATCTCCTCCAGAGACAGGACATCCTCTTTGATTTGCTGGGGCTGAGTCAGTAGCTTTCTCAGCACGTTCCTTGACAAGATAAATGGGAGGAAGAAGGGGGGGGAGTGAGAAAGAAGGCATGCAAGTAAAGAAAGTAAGAATCATTAATAAATGCCAAACCGGCAATGCATACTTCTATTTCTGTGACCCTCGAGCGTCCTCTCTGATTGCATAATCTATCACCCCCACTACGGAATGTGAAGTGTTGAGTCTACATTGTGTTCACACTTACACACAGCGAACAGGTGGAGAAGTTTACAATAGCAGTTGGCGTAAAGAAACAGATGGTCTCTGAATCCAGCGAGACCCTGAACTTGCGTTTCGTACTGACACTTTCGAGGTCTTTTATTTCATCACACGATAAAAGGAAAGAATGTCTCCTCAAAGCTCAAATGTAAACGCTGGTAAAGTATTCTGCAGCACTAGTGTTTGTCCTCCTACATCAGCTGTGTTCAGAGCTTTACAGGTCAGACTGATGGACTCATACCTGTGTCCGTGTGCAGCAGCGTGACTGAAGCAGTTCATGTCTTCATAGAGGGATGACGTGAGGGCGTTTCCGTCGTGAGTCTTCGATAAGGGGTCGGCGCCTCGTGCCAGGAGCAAACTCACCATCTCGTAGTTGCCTGAGAAACACATATCCGGTCAGTTATATACAGACACAGCTCCAGAACACATTTAAATAGGATATTTTTAGAATATCAAACATTATTATCTTGGTCGTACCCACAACCACAGTTAGCAATTTGTTCTCTTCTCATTTGTACAGTTTATTCATTTTGCTATCATCACTTATCACCCCACTAGTGTCAATTGTTTTTATTGCTTATTTTATAATTCCTGAGTGTACTTATCCTCTAAATATCCATATTGTTGTTTTATTTCGCTTACCGCAGCACAATTACACTTCACCACAGGGATCAATGAAAATGCACCACACTTTGTTTTATTTCGCAGCCTTAAACGAGCAACACATTCATAAGTAGGCACTGTTTACACACTGTCACTGCTTGGATGTAGAGCATGTGTCTCTTTTACTAGAGCTATGTGTGGCTTTCAGATGATCCCACAGAGGAATGCGGCCCAGAGGCTACTAAACAACCGCAGGCAGCGCTTTGGCTGCTGTCGCTGCACCTTCATTTGCTCTCTCATTTCCTCATTCCTCCTGCACGTTCACAACTTAATCCTGTGTTACTCTTGGTGGTCGTTGGGAGAAACTAGCACACTGCTGTCCTGGTTACAAATAACAGCGGGAGTTGTTATTAGTTGTCATGCAGAAAGCTGCAACAGCGGTTCATTCATTTCTTCTTTTGCGTAACCCGACTTTCTGCCTCTATAATTTAGTACAATGTGGTAATTTAGCAGCTATAAATTAGATCAGAACACAGACCTACTGCAAGTTAAACAACACGCTAACATCAGCTGTGCCTTGTGTTGTAATGTTTGTGTGTGTGCCCACCTGCTGCTGAAGCCAGCTGCAGCGGGGTATCTGCTGTATTCTCCTGTCCATTGCGGACTGCTGCCCCCTCCACGTTGGCCCCGGCATCCAACAGAAGCTGCAGAGGCACATGACATCTGTTATATTAAGCAATGCCTGACATCCTGTAACTCCTTTATGGTTTGACCTCTGACCTCACATTTGTCAATTTACTTCTGAAAATCACATCCAGTTAGCTCAGGACCATGTAGAGCGACTCGTTGTGCATACAGAGCAGGGTGTTTTTCCCCTTGAGGGAAATGCCACATGCCATGTCAGATTAAGAGTTTATACACTACATCTGCGTGAACGCCTTCCCACCTGCACTACGGAGATGTGTCCGTGCAACACCGCGAAGGTGAGGGCCGCCCAGTGTCGACTGTCGGGATGCACCGAGGGGTGCTTTGGGGAGCACGGTGGAACCTGGCAAGACAGAGGTGAAAAATTAGCATTGCACACCAAAAATCATTCCCCCAAAGAAACAGAAAGAAAACATCAAACTCATTACAGCCTCTATAAATGTAGATGTTTCAAATTGGAAACATCCCCTGTCGTTCGAAGAGGTAATACACATGTGCAGGTGTGTGATATTAAGATAAATCTGTCCATCTGTTGGAATTATTGAAGCGTCTTTACCGCTACGTCAAGGTTGGCCCCGGCGTCGATCAACATCTGGACGAGAGCCTCATCTCCAGCTGCGCAGGCGTACATCAGAGGGGTCATACCCTGAATGACGGGCAGGAAAAACAATCCATGAAGCTTATAGAAGATATAACACGCACACAATCGTGTTAGTGTAACCAGAACTTGCCTAACTTTTAAAATTAAAAGCAAAATCTTCAACCGAAGTACCACAAGCACGTGCATGTGTGTGTTCAGTACCTGGTCGTCCATGCTGTTGACCCCGTCTGGCCCCAGCAGATCAATGGCTTGACCGATGAGATCTGTGCGACCACAGTTGAGCATCCGAAATCCCAAGTCTAGGTGGAACTTATCTGTGGCAGCTCTGGAGTCCAGACGCTTGAAGGAGCTAAAGCAACACTCGGGTCTGGAAGAGATACAGAGACGGAGAGAGAGAGAGAGAATAAATAAGCAGTTCGCAATTAATCTGAGAAAAGCCCCTGGCTGATGGCTTTTTTTGTTTCGATCTGCTCGGTCAGTTTAAAGACACTTTGTGTGATGCTTCATTTAACCACTCTGCGGCTCCTGCACACTATACATTTGCATGTGATAGTTTTCTTTAGAAATAATTGTACACTTCATGAAGAGGTTAATGAGCCACGCTGCAGTCGGTGAACGGTCATTAATCTTCTGTACACACTTTGGACTTATTTGTTAGTGAGGACCAATTAAATTACAAGCATACAGTGTGTGGGTCAAAGGAGGCGCACATCTGGAAGCACGGCATGGTCTTAGCAATTAACTGTTGTTTCTTGTCAACCAATTAGGACGACCTCATAAACACAGAGCTGACATTAAAGCAAGATCAAGAAAATTAGAGAAAACTATTATCTGAAGTCATTAGAAAGGTTTTAATTTAAGTTAAGAATTCCAGCAGGACAACCCAAATGTGTGTGTTTTCATTTACTTCAGCTGTCTTGGCTCACAGTCCAATCCTGGGAGGAGAAGCCTGGCGGTCTGTCTGACATCATCGCTGTCCACCAGTAGACTCTTGCGATGCTCAGCGTGGACGATGGCCACTCTCATCCACTCCATCAGAGGTGGAAGCAGCAAAAATGGCCTACAAAGGAAGAAGATAAATCATCAGTACAATGGGTTCGTATTCATACTTTAAATCTGAGACAGGTGACAGATATTTTGTTCAGACTAAACGTACATGGCGGGCTCTTTGGTAAACCACTGACATCAAACAAGCTCTGTTGTGCTGAACCAGTAAACTATGAGGCTCTGTGGAAACCAGGGTGCTGTGAATGCTGAGTCTTCTTCAACACTCATGATTCACTCATGGACACACATGATTCAATCTTTCGAGAGTGATCTGTTTTCAACCAGATGACTTATTTTGCGTCTGGTTCTTCCCCCTCACCACAGTGAGACACCGTCAAATACCCCCCACACACACATTCACACACTCATACATATAGAAAGTCTGCACAGTGCACGTCACCTCTGCTAATCACACACGCTCGTCTGCTTTTACAGGTCATATACAGCTGGCGTTCTCCTTTAATGTCATCAAAACACTCAAATAACAGATGTACACACACCTGACTAATCTGCATTTATATGTTGGTCCCCGAGTTGTACAGCTAAACATCAGCTTTCCTTGCATTTGATGCGATGTGAGACTTCAGTTGCACTGTGGTTTGAGAAACAAAACACTGGAAAGGCTCCTGAATAATCAGCCTATTTTTAAACCAGCAGTAGCAGAATAAGCTACCGAGGGGAGTTGAACAGAGGTGCAGCGGCGTGGCATTGTTGTAGATGCTTTCTAAGATCTAAACCGAGAATGAAAAGAGAGAAGCAACTGGAACTGAAAGGTGAATAATACGACAAAAATAGAAATGACTGACAAGAGCCCAAAATAACAAGAGAAACATTCATTAATGCCGAGGAGGCAATTTGCATTTGTGAAAGTCATCTGGATTGTTTAATTGCTGCGTCTTCGCTCTTCATTGTCCTTCTCCTACATCTGTTCTTCTAAATCCCGTTAGGTGATACGCCTATCTGCACCGCCATGTCTAGCCGGTTATCTGGCATTAATCCCCTTCTTGTCTGTGCCTTTCTAACACCATATGTGCATAGAGTGTTCCTGTGAACAATGACACTTCACCGTGAATGTTATTGTTGTTGTTTGCTCGGGATTCTGTGAAGGCCCAGTCAGAGTGTGTTAATGATTGTTCTGTGTTATCACGAGTTATTAAGCTACCTTTCTCTCCTGCTGTGATTTTATTCTTATCTTTCCTTTGTTCTGTGGCACAAGTGTGCAAACACTTAAAATGCAGATCATGAATACAGATGGAGGCAAAAGCATGGGCAGTATACAAGTATGTAGCACTATAGGGTCTGATTGTAGTTACTGTTAATGAGCAATGGGGCCCGAGCAGTGCTGTTTATTCTGCTCACTGCGTTTACTTTAAGCAGCAGCCTGAGGTTTCCTATAAGAGCTCCTCCTGTACAGCAGTACTTTGTCGATGTCTTCTCCATTTGTAATAAAGGTAGATCAATTTAACTACCAATTATATATATTTTCCGGATTGATGTAGCTAATTTAATTGAATTTAATCCTCTGTCTTTGCACTGTTTTTTCAATTTGCACATTTTGTACAGTTGTTTTATTTATTTAATTTTTATTTTATTCACCTATTTTTCTTTGTAATTTTTAAAATAGTATTTAACTTTGGCTCTTTTTCTGTTGGGACTGGTGTTTTTCTCTTGCTGCTGTACCACAGTAATTTCCCAGACTGGGATAAATAAAGTATTTTCTATTCTATTCTATTCTATTTAAGCTTTTAATAACTGTCTACATCCAATTGTAGTTAGTAAAGCAGAAATACTGATGAATAAAAGCTTTGCTGTATCTTCTTACTAGCACTGTTCTGCATTAGTTGACCTTAAAACTCAAGGTACCTGCAGATAATTTGCTGTCAACTGTTTCAAGTCTTCTTTTCCCGTCTTTAGGCTATTCTGTCAGATGTTGCTTTAGTCGTTTATCAGTTGGCAATCAGTCAGGAGGAGGAGTCCTGCTGTCACCCAGGCGTGACAGTTAACAAGCAGACAAGGGGGCTGGAGGAGGAGGAGGAGGAGGGGATGGTTAAGTGTGGCTGATAGGTACATATAATGAAGGTTTAAGTGTTTGGAAAACTGCTAGGAGGCAGGTGGGGTATGTTGAGATGAAGAAGGGGGGTTGGGTGGCAGTCTGTCAGTTTGTGGACAGTGCTCCGGGTGTAGAGTGATAAGAAAGTCATGTTTCTGAGGAGCAATGGGCTTGGGAATCAATGTTTATTCCTCTCTTAATGGCCTCCACTCAACACAAATTGGGCTGTGTGTGTGTGCGTCTGTTCATTCATGCAGGCATTTGCGCACGTGTCTTCCTGAATGCTACGAGGCATCCACCCTACTACTTTTATTGCGTTGCCTGCGTCCAGGCATGCACACCACACTGGCTCTAATCCAGAAGTAAACCAGCTCCAATTAACATTATCCAGCTTGAAGCGCTCAACTTTCATTGATCCATTTCAGAAAATTTCTCTCCTTGACTTTATCAGTTTTAGTGAGCAAAGAATAAATCTTAAAAACTCACACAAGGACAAAAGCAGGGTATTTATTCCAAGGCCTGGTATTGTGGTTTCCCAATAAAATACTGTCAGTGGCATTTTTTTTGCCAATTAGAATTTAATGTTTGGTGGGGAGTGTGAGTGGAGGATTTGCACAAAAAATGTGCAAGATTACAAAACAACTGAGGTAATGTCTGTGTACACACCAGCGGCTCAGAGCTGCAGACAGATGCACCACGTCTGTACCACCAACCAAAGCTGTGTCATTCCTCTTTCTCTTCTGAGACCCTTTTCCCCATTATCCGAACTGGTTCCCCCCTCACACCCCACATCTGACCCCTGTGTCTGGACCCTCAGCCTGAAACACAAACTTCAGCTTCGTCAGAGAGCCGGCGCAACATCAAAGCCGAGATGCCTGTTAACACTGAAACTAGATAGTGCTTCTGGCTAGCCTACTGACCCAACATGCTAAGGCTGCATACTGAGCACAGCAGGATGTAGACACACACAGACAGACATACACAAACTCTCCCACAGATGTCCACATGTATGTTCAAAGCTAGCATATAAACGTTAGCTTTGATTCATGGTGCTTTGCCTACCGCCACCTGGCAGGTCGTAAAATGACAGTCAGGCCAAATCGTGGTCAGGTGTGTTTGGACTCTAACCTGTCCCGAGATAAAAAAGCAAAGACTTTTCTCCCTCGGAGGCCAAATCGCACATGCTCCACTGGTCCCATATGTCCTGTATGCCCTATAACCTGAAGCCAGTGCGGTTGAGTTCAGATTGTAAGAAACTTCAATCAGGTTTTAGACCCCATTATGGTTTGCAAAGGGTCAAGGTTAACCACTGATCTGGAGTCCGATTACACTCATAAAGGGCTCCATGAGGGTAACCATATCTGATGTATCTGTGGTTAGAACTAAGCTCCATTGGCTACTTCTTATCAGTAACACATCTATCCATTAGCGCTCCCTTCTACGCTCTGAACAAACCAGAGGAGTTGGAAGGACGGGGGTTTGCTTCGAGGACTGTTGGAACTGCTCATTTTTAGTGATTCTACCATTAACAACATAACTTTAATAACACAAGTTTTTTTCTGCATGGCGGCTTAAAGAATAAGAGTGCGAAAAGGAAAATAATTGCAGACACCAGCGTTGCCCTCCCACACTCGATGCAGTCTTAATACCCCAACACAGGATCATCACTCACAACTAAGCACCGGCTTTAAAGGATCATAACAAAAAGAAGGGCGTCTCTCGTAGTCTCGAGGATTCTGCAATAAGGGTCTCACCAGGCTCCCTATAATGTTTGATGATGTGGCCCACACAGATTTGGTGGTTTTGGGTTTCCACCAAAAGATTTTTATAAAGCTTTCGATAGAGGGTGAGCCAGAAGGATGGAGAGGCCCCGCTGAAGGAGAGAAAAAGTCTGTATCATTACCAGACGCTCGCATTGTAATCACTACCAGGTTTTGCCCTGCTCCGGCCTACCACCTGAGTCTGCCATGTGTGCTAAGATTCACAGATGCTACAGCGGGTCACACGGAGAGATATACGGGGATATAAAAACACAGATAGGCAAACTGGCGACCGGCAGATGCCCAAGAAAGAAAAAGAAGAATGTTACAGATGTTCCAAAGCATACAGTACAACAGGAAGAGAAACAGTTTCATCCTGCACACATAAACCAGGCTGATATACATCGGACATTAAAAACATCTGAGGAACAGCCAGGACAGGGAAAAGGAAGGCTGTATATCTGCTGTTCTGTTCTTATTGATGTTAATGAGGAGCCCACTTTTGCTCATTATTTAATGCATAGAGGCTAGCTAGCTTTGAACACACACATACACACAATTGGTAAATGGGTAGATTTCACCATAAAAACTTTAAGCAACTATGATTATCTCACAGCTGCTACGTTCTCAGTAACAAACACGTGATTTACTGGAGTTCAAAACATTAATTGCAGAAAAAAACAAAACAGTAATTGACTTACCACGGCAAGCTGAACACACTTTAGTGGGAGCTGCGTCCCATTTATATGCTTGAGTGCTGCCTTTAGACAAGCCCCTATGCATCAGGTTAAAAATGCAATTAACCTTTACACATACGAGAGCACTTTCCACTGACATTTTTTAACATATGGTTACTCCGTGACACACACACACACAGAACACAGATGTAGGAGGAGGCTGCAAGTACTTTTCTCTCTTACACACACACACACACAACTGTAAGCAATAATTTACCTTAACTGAAGGCACATAATCTCTCACATTTATCGTAACTGCTAAATTCACCATTACACTTAACTATGAACTCCTGTGAGCACACATATTAAGCAACTCTACACGTTTTATCAGTTTTGTAAGAAAGGAGACATGACTCAGTTCGCATTACTCCCTTCTTTCTGTGGAAATCAACCAGCACGAAACATAAGTTCCCAGAGACCTATGTAAAACCAAAGATTAGCCAAGAAACGTGTTCAAATTATTAGGTATGCAGACAACACAGCCAGAGCCTGTCATGTGCTGTATTGCATCCAGACTATTTTCAACCACATATCGCAGTGGTACACAAGGATTGCCATAATTGCTCTACAAAGGCGACTCAAGGAAGATTTGAGGAGAACAGAATGGAATTACAGACCATTTGCACCTCTTAAAATCCTTTAAACCGCCGGTCTTTAGCCTAATTTACGCCTTTAAAGGTACACCCTTCTATCAGACTAGCGTTAACACCTGGGAGCTGTTGCTCACTTGTAATTTACCTACAGAAAATTAACACTTGAGTGACCAGACGGTAACGGGATTACCGGTGAATGGAAAAGAAGGGTTGCTGCTTACTTGATTTAGAAACTATATTTTAAAAATTGTTTTTCGCAATGATTAGAGACACAAAGACTAAGCAATGGAAATAAAAATGTATTAAAGGGGAAGAAAGAAAACTTGTTTTCTACGGTTGGATCCAAAACCAGAAGGCCTGCTATGCACTTGGTTGAAAGCATCTGAAACGTTTGTGTCCAGTCATGCATGGTTCCCACCTCTCTTTGCTGAGCGCCATGCGTGGGGGATCTAAGTTGGGATTCTCCATGGACTCCATTTGCGGGCAGCGCAGGAAGTAGTAAAGGGTGTGGAGGGCATCAGGCGACCAGGACACGGGCTGCTGGGGACGGGCATGGCGGGCAGGGCTCAAGCCTGGACGCACTGAACTCAGACGCTGCATGTGGTGCATGGCACGGGAAACCAAGTCACCTGGAACAGAGGAAAGAACATTGTTGGATGATAGTTAAACAAAACCCTTACCTTCACTCATGCCATTTGCTCGATTCAGTAATGAATCAAATGACTCGATTGGTATGTGTCCCCTTAACAACTGTTGAGTGGCACATTGAAAAACTGTAATTGAAGTCCAGTATAATCCCCATGGGCATCCAGTCAAACCGGATTTCCCTTAACCACTTAGGTTTCTTTACTCATTACTCTCCCTCCACGTCTCCAGTGGTACTTGCCATTAGCAGTGTCATTATCAGTAAGCAAAACCAGACGGCAAGTCTAAATAGCCATTCATCTTTAATCACTGAAGGAGTAAATGGGACAACAGACAGTTGATCACAGGCTCTAATGAACTGCTCCACTGTTTATGTACTGGCACAGTTCAATCACTGCACTCAGCCTGGAAAGGTGGGTGTCAGCCAGATGATAGAAACAAGGTTAAGATCTAAATTCGACTCATCTATCACTTGTGTGAAACCTGTCCTGAGATAAACTTAGAAACAATATGCAGCCAATTAGAGGATTCATCAATCCACACTTAGTCTACCGAGTGGACAACCAAACGCCGTCGTATGAAAGGCTCGTTTAGATCACCGAACGCAAAGTGACGCACATTAAACTTCATTATTATAAACTGACACAGAACACGGAAAAAGCAGGCGTACTGCTGGAAAGAGTAAAGCTTGTAGATCTTGTTAAGTGCCCATGGATGTCAGAGCAAGAGTTTGAGTGGAGAGGCTATTATCAGTCGTCTCAGGGATGTGGGGAAGTGGAGGAAGGGCAGGGAGAGGCAGCGTGAGGGAGGGCGGTCGGGCTGAACTGGGGATCGTGTAACGCTCATTTAGCATAATTACCCCTGGGTTAATTTCTAACCAGATTACTGTGAGTATTACACTGCACGGCGTCCAAGGCTAAAGACTACAGCAGTGCGAGTGTGTATGTGTGTGTGTGTCGACGTTAAGGGGTTCGGGGTACTTCGAGGGGGGTCAGATTGGGGCAGCCCTCCCAACACAGACCCCACTTAAAGCTGAAGGGCCTCCTTTGTGTAAACCACCACCAGCAGCCCCTCCAGGAGGTCTCGTAGGAATTCTTGCCCAAGATGGAGAGCCTCTCCCCGCCTTTCAAGCCTATATTATGCCCTGGAGCTAAACTGAGCTCCAGGGGTCAAAGGGAAATGAAATACTTCGTTCTTAGATTACAGATTATGTTGGAGTCCTTGTGGAAACTGGCAAGTCAACAAACTGTGATGTGACTGTTTGTTAAATACATTTTGACGAAATGTTAGTCTCTGGTGAAAACAGCAGGATAATGAAATGATTCAAATAATAAAATACACACGTTGTTGACTGTATTGCTGTCAGTTCAACTTAAACATCTTCTTGTTTGGACTCGGTAAGGCATCACATTGTTAACTGGATTTACAGGTTATAGCAAAAAGCTAATTTTGTTTTTAGTTATTTCAATCCTGCTTTTTAATATTTTCCTTAGTTAAGTGAACGGTCATATATTCATAGTTTCCTAGAGCTGGTGGAGGACGAGCTCAACCTAAAAAAGACCTTCAAATGAAGACACTCTCAGGGCCAGTGTATTGGTTACACTATATTTCCAACAATTTTTGGACATTTAGCAAATATCTCCTGTGTGTCCTTCCATCCATTATCCGTCATGTTTATGTATGCTGTGTGTTTGTGTGTCTGGCCAAGTCCAGTCGAGTGATCCAGCAGGACCGAGCAGCTCAGTACAGATGCTGCTGTGTCTGCCTGGTCTCCTGGGCTCTGATCAGAGTGCCAAACCCACTGTGTTTTTGTTTTTGATCAGCGGACACACGCCTGTGTGTGTGTGTGTTTGTAGGCGTGGATGAGTCTGGATGCCAGCCCTGCCCAGAGCAGCCCAGCTTCACGCCACCAGAGAGATGTGGCACAAAGAGTCCACTGAGCGAAAGAGAGAGAGAGAAAGAGTGTGTCTGTGTTTGGGAGTGTGTGTACACTTTCTTAATGCCTCACTAACGGCGGCGGTGTATGAACGTGGCCTTGTGCTGGAGGAACAAATGGCAGAGTGTTAGCTCGTTTGGAGTAGGAAACCTATCCCCGCTTTGACCAGCACTAATCTCCATCTTTCCTCCCGTCTCCCTGCCCGGACAACCTCACTTTTCACCTCTCTACCTTTCCATCATTTCCTCCTGACCCCCAGTGCTTAAACACACTCCCCTACCTTTCCAACTCTGCCACCCTCTATTCCTGTTTTTTTTCTCACATATTAACGATCTGATTGCTGGCAACTCTATCACAGCTTCCCGTTTCACATGTACAGAAGAGTACAGTATGACTCTGTTTACCGACCATCACGTGTATCGATGATATTCCAAGACAGAAAAGACTCCAGCCTACAAAAAGAAGATCTACAACTCTGTTTTGATTGACAGCAGACAGAATAAAGTCTGGCTGATGGAGTCCAAATGTTTTCCCTTGTCGACTAACTTGACCGCGAAAAAAAAAAGAAAAGGATTGCACACTGCTTTGCAAAAGAAAGGAGTGAAAATATACAATCACAGGCATTATCACTTCACTCTCCAGAGCTCCATGTGTAGATAAACTATTCCATTGCTTATTTTTAGAAGAGAGTGCATTAGCTGACTTGCTAAATGAGGCACAAGTTGAGACCTATCACTGACAAAAAGTGATAAAGAAGTAATTATCTATTATCTCTGCTCGCCACTTGAAAGGCTGATTTATGTCAGAGAAAAAGGATTCTTTCTTCGAGTGTTTACCATATTCTATAGTTCATGATTGTGAAGTATTTGAAAGCTATGACAATTTGTTTATTATTTCTGGCAGTGTGTCTGTACGAACAAGAATGCTGTGTAGCTTCACTGTTATTGCAGAAAGCTCAGAGGAATTTACTCAATTAAAACAGAAAAAAAAATGCTACTACGACCAGGACCGCACTCTCTATTCTGATCTACTCACTGAGTTCGGAGATGCTGCCCACACAGGTAGCCAGCAGGGACTGTTCCAGCGTCCTCAGCTCCAGCTGGGCATAAGCATCCTCCCTGCTGTCCACAGACGTCTGCTGGTTCTCTGTGTAGGGACTGAAATGGGCCGGGAGAGACAGAACACCTACGGACACAGAAACAGAGAGCGAATGGATTATAAATATGCTAAATGTTTGAGCCGTGTGAATAAACCTCTGCAGCCACCCGTCTGCCCCGAGCTGCTCCGCACAGAATTCCCAAAACAATTGCCGGCAGTATTTGCTTAGTGTATTTGTAATCCTGGTAACTGGTAACCCACACCGCTGAGGGCAAATAAACACACACAAGGGAACGTGAGCCTCGACACATTTAGGAAAATAAACAGAGCGCACAGTGACACGGGGCGAATGCAGACAAAACAAATGCAGACTGCATCAGACGCAGAAAGGAAACAAAGATCGAGTTAAGAATTCAGTGTTAATCGCACTAAAACTTTACATAGATAGCCTCTGGACAAGACACACAATGTACCACACATACCCTACAGGATGGTGTCTTATATCTGCAGTTATTTTACAGAAGTCTGATAAAATTAGTACAATAAGGACGACAAAGAAAACGACACAGTTCTAGCTGACGGAACAGTAAGATAAAGGTTTAGTATGGGGATCTATTTAGAGTGTTTATTTCCGCTCAAGTAAGAAAAGAAAGTGAACAGAAAACACCTTAACTTGTAAAACTGTAAGCCAACATCATGAAAGTATCAAATACACAGAACTAAGAAGATTTAATGGTGCCGTTATGAGACAGAATCACTAATTGCAGTGTACTACATCCTCTGTCATAGCTGCTGGTGTAACTTGGGTTAATTTAGGACAAGTGCGGCATTTCCTCTTCGACTAGAGCCCCCTGGAGACCCAGTAGGCCCAACCCAGCCATCTCTGACAAACTGGATGTGTGAGGAGAACAACAGTTTTAATAAAAGTCAAACTGAAATCGAATGAAAACCTCACCACCATTCATGAAATCAGATAACACACACATTATGATGAGTAACAGCTTAACACCGCTTTGCTCTTTTCATTCTACACGACCGCCGGTTGTCAGATTAATTGCAGGCGAGGCGATAACATCATTCTTACATAACCCGAAGATGTCAACGTGTTCTTTCGCTGCTGTGATTGTTTTCCAGCTAAAGTGGATAAAAGTAGTGACAGGTGAAGGTGAGAACGCTGTGTGCTTTTTAGTATCACTCTGCCGGCTGTTAGCTCACACCTTCATTAGCTGTGCCTGGAGAAACGTGTTAGCTACAGGACAGCTAACCGCTCCAAGGTTAACCTTTATTTTGGCTTCACAATCAGAAGTGAGGGGGGGAAGATGGAGGATAGAAAAGAGAAATGGAAAGGGGAAAGATGATCAGTGTAGGTTTGTGATTTATTAAGAAAGCCACAGGAGCAAAGCCACATCATCTCAAACTCTCCTTACTCTCCCAAGAGGGGAAAAGATGGGCCGTCATCCCTAAAATGACATTCCCATGTGCTTCCGGCAAGTGGTGTGGAATCAGAGGAGAATGCTGAAAGGAAAAACTGCTGATGCATGTTCACAAAAATCCCATCTTCCTACTCTGAAACCTTTTCCTTTCAGAACTCCACGCCAACAAGAGCTGATGAGACTTAAAGTTGACTGTTAATTGAATCAACGATGGCAAATGAGAATATTTTAAAATCACAAGGTAACCAATAAATCTTTTCAAGGAATAAAGTGCTGCCTCATTGTTTGTTTTTTTAATTGTTTATGAAATTGTTTTCACACTTTGAAACAATATTTAGTTTTATGCTATATCTATATGAATGATTTCATGCATTGTGTAAAGTGCAATATTGGCTGTATGACATAAATATAAACATACCTTAATCAACTCATATGAGATTAATGTGTTAATAAGTGTGTGGGCACAGTTTATGTGCAGGTATAAGATCAACAGAGATAATATGTGAGATAGACAAACATTTCCCACAGTCAAACTACCATACTAGACCATTGCTAGAAAACAAACAACAAACAAACATCGTCACTGGGGTCATGGGGGGCTGGAGTCTATCCCAGCTGGGTGAAGGCAGGTTCACCTGGACAGGTAACCTATCACAGGGCTACACTTAGAGACAGACAACCAAGCACACTCACATTTACACCTACGGACAATTTAGAATCACCAATTAACCTCAACATGTTTCTGGACTGTGTGGGAGGAAGCCGGAGAACCCGGAGAGAACCCACGCTGCACGGGGAGAACATGGAAACTCCACACAGAAAGATCCTGGGTGTCCTAACTGGGACGCGAACTGGCGACCTTCCAGCTGTGAGGCAATGGTGCTGACCACCGAGGCACCTTGCAGCCCTCGAAAACAAACAGTGGATATAAATACACTGCATTATTAAAGACAAATGTTGCATTCACAGTATGTTAGCAACATAACTTGAGCTAAACAAGTTAGCAGGGTTTGTCTACTTATTGCTGCGATTTGTGGCCCAGAGTAAAGTCACTCTCTAACAGATGACACTGCAAACATGTGTGGACAGCATACATTCACAAAAAGGGAAAATATTCTATTACATAGGTCCAATATTCAAATGCACTGGGTGAAGTAAACATCAGTATTATATGACAGACTGTGCATCAAATTGTACTCCATTGAGACAGTGAGAGTTGGATAACTCAATTAGAGGGTAAAAGGGTACACAACGCCCCGTAGCTGTCTAAACCAGAGTCAGAGAAAAGTCACTTCAGTCTAAAGCAAGGCTTCATAAATGAAAAACATATTGATAGAATTAAAGATATATTCACTCTGGCAGAGCTCGACTGCCAAAGGGAATCCAGTTTCATGCAAAAACTCCACTTCCCCCCGCCCCCCTCTCTCGTACTTTCTCTGCAGCATCTGACTTGTATAATATGTGCTGACTCCCCGTTTCAGCACAATGGAAACGGCTGCCTCTAGCAGAGCACTGCTGCTACAAAGAACATGCACGTCACACAAACAAACCCATGCACAAGCTTCAGCACATCCCCGTTCCTTCGCACGAGCACAAACATACTCGTGCGCTTACACCCGTGCGTACATGCGCACACTTCTTTGATGTGGCACTTCAGGTATTTTGGTAGTTCTAATGAAGGCTTTGCTTCTGCAGCGTGTTAATCATTCCTTAACGTGACAGTAAGTACAGATAAACGTGGGCGAGGCATCTGAGGCTCTAACATTTTTTTTTTTTTAAGAACTTATGTGAATCTCTTTTTCCCCCACGATTATCCTCCAGAGGCCTTGGAATATTCTTTTACAGAGAAATAGAGTTATTTATGGTAATGGCTGCACATTCAACAGACCTTTCACATTATCGTGTTAAATTTCTCTTCTTCTATATATTCGCCTACACTGCCTCGCTGTGTATACACCGCTATGCTTTATGGCCACCGTAGTGGCCTCCGTGACAGAGTAGTAGGTGTTATTTTATGTGGCATGTAATGTGAAGAGCTCATTCAGTAATAGCTCGACTCCGGCTTATATGAGGGGAACTCCTGCCTCCTGAGGCAGAGGTGCCATTCTGAGATATTGTGTCTCATTACCGCGGGTGAGGTTGTGTGAAAAAATGAAGATGTCAGCGCGCGTGAAAGATTTGTCAACAGGAGTAATGGTTCGCAAATTTGCATCGTCGTTGTGACTCCCCGTAGAGTGATTCACCAAGAGCGTCACACTGATGTTGTTCCCGTCTTCAAACTCCACCTAGATGCGTAAAATATAATAAACGGTTAAGAATAGAAGCCTAATCGTCCTTGTAGGACTAATTCAACAGCTCAGAATGCATTAAGTTGCTCAGGCGTTAAACCGTTTGCTTCTTGCATGAAAACAAGGCACCTAAAAACTATTTTGAAGACAATTAAACAGCAGGTAAACGTACAGCTCACAGGGACCCTTTCTTATTTGCGTCTTTACGAAATTAAACGTGTCAGCCAAGCACTGAGCTGATAGATCCTGATATTTCTCATTACTCTGGCCCAAATTTATCATAGCTTAATATAGAACAGAAGCAGAATCTTTGCAAATTGTAATACAGTTTCAGTTGATTCTGCCATATTCTTTGAAGGCTGTGGCAAATATTCACACACCACTCAGTATTTCCCACAGTCCCACCCCATCGCTTGCCTCACCGCTGAACCCCAGCCTGCGTCATTTGGGCCTGATGTAGGTCCGCAAGCCAACCAGGGCCGTCCCCACCACCACTAATATCATGAGTACCAGCAGCTCCAGCGCTGTACGCATCTTTTTTTTTTCTCTGGCGCTGGGAGAGGCTGAGGGGAAGACGAGCAGGAGGGGATGAGGGCAGAAGCCGAGAGGAGCAGAGAGACTGCGGGCTGTAGAGCTTTATTGGAAGATGAATGAGTCATGCAGAAAAAGGATGCAACAGAGGAGGAACTGGGGGGGAAAAAACAGGAATATCTGAGACTGTGAAGAGAGAGAGAGGGAGGTAGGGGAAGACAAGTGACACAAGGGATTCATTCTTTTGTGGTCATTATGGTTCCATTTCTGAGGCTGACCCTGCAAATGTCATGTGGGAATCTCAGCTACAAATCACAGCTGAAACTTAACCACAGAGCTTGTGGCAGTTCCCAGCCCATTCAAACTATCTCTCATAACCATTACAGCGCTCGTAGCGCGGCCAAGCCATCACTCAAGATGATGTTCGACACACTGTCGAAACAAGGTCAGAAAAATCCAACAACAATTTTTTTGTAACACTGAAGGATTTTGAACGCAGCCCAGGCGCGCTGTCACTCTCAATTAAGTCTCTTTATGAGTCATATTCCATTAAAAATAATGCTGTCAAATCAAACGCCAATGTTCAAATCTAAATCTATTGTCAGGAAATCATAACTTTGAACTGCGGCGTGCCAGAGAGTGCAATATGTCAGAAAACCCTTTGAGAGTTAAAGCTGATGGAAGCGACTGCCTCACTCCCTTTTCCTGCATGTCTCCGCTCTCACTTTGTTGCTCTTGTGATACGTCGCTATCTCCCAATGTCACAGATTGTTCTACTTGGCTCCAGGTTTGTGTTTGCAGCAGACATGCTTGGTAGCGTTATTAGGTTACGTAT